TAAAGCCTATTTTTTTGTTTGCTCTCTCTTCTAACATTTTAATGGATAAAGAACTGCCCTTACACAGTCAGACTGTGTAAGGTACTCACCTTTTTTACCTCGGTACCCACCTAGCAGCGTTGCCACTGCCTCCAACGGGCTTGGCAGAGCATCAGCCCATATGGTGCTGGTTGGTCTCACCCCGGCAAAGCCCGGAATCAGCCGGGTCTGGGCTGGGCTCCGTCACACGGGCAGGCTCAGCGGCAGCGCTCCACACTCTCTCAATTTTCACCCTCTACTTACAACTGACTCCCGCAGTGGAAACTCCTAAAGCATCGCCCTTGAGAAACTGCTCCAAACTCCATGGGACGCTGAGAATCGGCTCAACCCGCGCTGTCCCGCCGGCTGCCGAGCGCTCCCGGCGGTTTTCCCGTGTCCGGGGACACCCGGGGCGCTCCCGGCGGCTTTCCCGATCCCGGGGTACCCCGAGCGCTCCCGGCGGCTTTCCCAAACCCCAGGGTACCCGGAGCGCTCCCGGCGGTCCCCCAGCCGGGATACCCGGCCTGCTGCCCCAGCCCGTACCTCGGATGTAGGCGCACTTGCTGTCGTCCAGCGGCGCGGAGGCAGAGGCGCCCATGGCTGGGTGCGGAGCTGCGGCAGCACCACGGTCCCGCCGAGCCCGGACCGCTCCCCCCGAGCCCGGACCGCTCCCGCCGCTTCCTCCGCAGGCGCCGCCCCCGGCCCGGCCCTGCCCCGCCCCGCCCGGCTCGGCACGGAACGAATGGGGACCAACAGGGACCCGCGGTGGCTCTGGGCTCAGGCACGCTCGTCCCCTGCCGCTCGTTGTGCCCTCACTTCGCTCTGCCCTGCTGTCACCGCAAAATCCACATCCCCACCGATACACGGCTGCAGTTTCACCCCGGAGTTTCTCCAGAGGCCGCGTTAAAGACCGTGCCGCAGTAAAAGCTCGGTTAAACCAGGACCAAAATGCCTCTCCTGGAGGTGTCCAGAAGGCAGCGGGGTCTGGCGCTGGGTGATGTGTGCGGTGGTTTAGGGGTGACAGTGGCAGTGCTGAGGTGATGTTTGAACTCTATGGGTTTATAGGACTCTTCCAGCCTTGATGATTCTGTGATAAAGTTGGTAGCACAGATGCCCAGAGCAGCTGTGGCTACCCCTGGATCCCTGGCAGTGTCCAAGGCCAGGTTGGACAGGGCTTGGAGCAACCTGGGATAGTAGAAGGTGTCCCTGCCCATGGGACGGGGTGGAATGAGATGATTTTAAGGTCCCTTCCAACCCATCTCATTCCATCTTTCTGTGATTCTGTGATTTATGGCCCAGTCTTCAGGGCCATATTGTCCCACTCTTCCCAGGAATATTGCAAATTGCTATTGTATGTTTCATTCCAAGATGAACAATAAACCTACACAAGCAGGCACTAAAATACACATCACTTCAGTAAATATTGTCCAGGCATTTAAACAACTTCCTAAATCAGGCAAGCACACCAGTCTGCAGATCCTCAGCACAGCAATGTAAGGCAGAATGGAACAGATATCTGAATTCTCCTGCCCCTGAACAATAATTTCACATCATACCCAGATGTGACTTTCTAAAGTACTTCCTTCTTTTTTTGGTGTTTTTATAACATTAATCCAGCTGACTGGCCATGAGCAAGGTGCCATCCCTTATTGGGCCTCATATGTTTTGTATGGAGCTGATGAGTTGCAATGAATGTGGATTTTGCTGACATGCTGGAGGCTCACAGTGACTGGAAGTTACTCATTTTACCATCAAATACTTCTCATTCAGCTTGTACACATCTGCCACTCACTGTGAAATTGCTTTCACATATTTCTGCTTTGCTGACGTGAGCTGTGGGGTGGGGAGGTTTATCCTATGCCACTCAGCTGATCACAGAATGGTGAAACAGGTTGGGGTTGAAGAAACCAACCATTTTGAGGTTGAAGAAACCAACCATTTTGGGGTTTTTAAACCAACAATGAACTTGATCAGATTTGAAATATTGCAGATGATATGTGACATCAAGTTCAGTATTGTGCTAAACAATCTCTTTCCTTCCAAAATTCATGTTCTCTGGTTGTATCTAAGTGTGATGGAGCAATTGCTTCACTACCCTGAGGAGAGCAGGCTCATCCAGAGCATCACTGAGCCAGTCACAAGTATATTGAAACCTCAGCTGAGCTAAAACATTAAATCAGCAGCACTTCCAGAGGTCAAATGTGAACCAGGCTCTGTTTTAAATATATTTGAGAGCTCTCAGCAAGGTGGCTGCTGTGGTTTTCTCACTGGATCTCTGTGAGCTGTGTGAGCAGACGCCAGTGAGGAAATACTGGTTGCTCAGTTAATGCTTTTGAAGGCATAAATTGAGAGGAGAATTCAGGCTCTGCTCAGTGCAGTGTATAGTTTATCAAATATAGCTGAGGAGCTTTTCATCACATGAAATGGGCACGTCAGCTCCAGGAGTCTGGAGAGATAAATCTTGCAGAATTCATGAGCCATGAAGTGGATTGCAGTTCTGTCCCATCATTTAGCAGATGAAATTATGCCAAATCCCAGAAGCTTCACATCCCACAACAGATGACAGAACGTGCACTGAGTGGGAAACCTCCCTGGCTAATTACAGCTAGGCTAAAAGCAAAATGAGAACTGAGGAGTTTATCTAGTTATAACATTCTATACTTTGCTACTACCTGATCCCCAAGATCCCCAGGCATTTCATAAATGCTTGTTAATTAAAGACTGTGATTTCCTTTTTAAGATAGGTAAATGCTGTGTTTTACTGGTAAAGCTTGTGTCTTTATCTTCTTAAAAAGACACCATGAGAAACATGAGCCAAATCAAGAACAAAGATAAATGAGCCTATTTATGTACTGCTTAAAACAAAAACCATCCTCAAGAGAAGAAATTTGCCACATTAAATTTTAAGCTGATGTGACACACCTGCACTGCAGCTAGCCATGATAAAGTAATACAATCAAAACAAGTATTTTCCCACTTTTTCCTCCTATGAAATATTGATCTTTAAGGGTTGTGTTTAACTTTACACACCCCAAAAATCCTTCTCTAAACACCTGTTTTGTACTGTATCCTAAAGGCTGTGTTATATCCTAAAGGGCAAAATGAAAGTGAATTCCTGAGTGAAGGAGATCAGGAGAAACACTTCTTTCCAAACACAGGGATGAAGATCTGCCTCTGCTGCCTCTGTGAGTTCACTTGCGGCACAGTGACATGGAGGGAGTGACATGGTTTCTTACATCACCACAGTCTTCCTCATGCTCTGGACCCATGAGGCAGCCAGTGGGAGTACGGGGAGCTCTGGTACCCAAAAAGTGCAGTGCACTATCACTGCCAAAATCTGCTTGGGGAGGGTGGGAGTGAGGCAAGGAAGGAAGGGAGAGAGGGAGAAAGAGAAAGAAGGAAGGGAGAGAGGGAGGGAGAAGGAGGCTGTCTCCACAATCTCATCTATTTGATCTCCCTGTAATGGAACCCTGATGTGCCCCAGACATGACAAGATCCATTCCCAGCTCCACGGGCTCACCATGGAATGAACTCCCAGGGGCTGTCAGTGAAACACACAGTCCTTAACACAACCACAGGGCTGACAGCCTGCAGAGGTGTCCTCAGAGGCACTGATAACATCTTGGCCACCTTGCTGGCTGCTCCTCCTTGAGTGATGGAAAGGGGCCCTGCCAAGGAACCAGCTCGTTTGCCAAGCTGCACAAGAGCACTTGGCTGTGCCCTTTGCTCCAGAGAGAGGGCAGGCTCACCCTGTGTGTGCTCCCCCTCACACCTGGTTGCCTCAGAGACATGGTTTGTTACCAAACAGAGGCACTAAAGTGAAAGGTGTGTGAAATCCATTGGGAGAGATGATTCATTATCCAAAAGAACCTTCTAGGATTTCTCCAAGGGAATGGAGCCATTTTAAGGCCCCTGGCTTTGTAGGCAGGATAACAATGTGCTGTTGACACAGCCAGCTGCAAAGGTAATGAAACTGTAATGAATAAATAATAATCATCTATTGCTAGAGGAAACTCTTAATCATTATTGTCTGAAAGTCAAAATCAGGTTGCAGACAGTATGAGGGATGTGTGACAAAATAAAACCAGCCCTTTTCTCAGGACAGACTGTTGGCTGAAGCATATTCTGAATCCTTTTCCTGTAAGTAAAACAAAAATGTTATTCTTATGAGTTATTTTCAAAAGGTTAGAAGGAGGTCTTAAAATCTAGCTACAGAAGATACTCTAAGAGAATCACAGCTCTTCTGCCTGGAAAAGCAAAAATAACATTTTGATAAAATAGCCTTAAAAAAAAAAAGTTAAGAGTTGGTTGTACTTTAGCTGCTGCCCTAATTCTGAGAGACCAACCAGCACTGAAAACCCACACACAGGAGAGTGGATTTTGACAAGTTCCTAATCCCAGAATCATGGAGCAGCCCAGGTTTGAAAGGGACCTCAAAAGTTTCTCAAACCTCTCCTAAGGAAATTATCTAACACCCCTTGCCATTGCACCTTGAGAACTTCAGCAACAGAGACCCTGAGGAGGCTGTGCCAGTGAATTGCTGTTCTTGCTAGAGAAAGTATTGTTCTTACACCAAGATAAAATGGAACAGCATGGTCTGGAGACAGTGTGTGATGTGCTGCTTCATTTATGAACTGAATGTTCCAGGAAAGAAGTAAAAATTATGTTTATGGTCATTATTCAAATGAAGGAATCAGATAAAACCCTTTACTTTTGTAACTGAAAAGTATGGATGACAGGCTGAACCACTCATGAAGGAGGGAAGGCAAGGCAAAGGAATATTTCAGTAGCAAATGGTGGTAAAATTATATCATTTTATCTATAGTTCTATCTTTCAAATGTTATGTAGATCAAAATATAATCAAGCTGCTGAGTGCACAATTCAAAGCAGGAGGAGGCTTTGCTGGTTGCCTTTCTCACTCTTTATTTTCTTCCCAATTATGTTTTGCTCAATTCAACATGTGAACAACATTCATTGGACTACTTATTGAAAAACAGTGCTCATAAAAAAACAAATTACAAATTACACTCATTATTCTACCCTGCTTGGTTGCAAATTGTTTAGGTCTGTCAATTTTGCCCACAGAATTGAATGTGATACATAATCTGAGAGGTTTTTGAAACTCCTGCAATAGAATGTTCTGATAATGCATTCATGGTGACATGGCAGAGTTCTGTAGTTATCTATAAATGTAATAAATTTATATACACACAAACGTAGCCCTAGCCCATAGCAGGGCTCAGCTAGATACCAGTATTGCTACAAATTGAGCATTTCCACCCTCAATATCCAAACATCTTCTTCCTCAAACACTAAATACTTTTGAGTGGAAAGGTAGAAAACTCGAGGTTAAAAAACCTCTCTTTTCTTTGTAGTCCAAGAGTGTGGTGGGATGATGAGAACTTCCCAGTAATGACAACGAGAGGCTTCTCTCTCTTCTGCCCCCTGAGGTTCTGGGGTGGGAGGATTCCAGCAGCTGGGCCTTTAAGACACCAGGTCAGCCCCACAAAAGAATGCTGCTCCCCTAGAATTCCTTCTCAGAGCACAGTGCTCGTGGTGCTCACTGCAGAGAGCTCTGCTCTTTTGGTTTCTGTCCACAAGGGCCCTTCAGTGGCTCTCAGGTTCCCAGTTCTCATGGAGTACAACCAAACCCGTGCAAATCCATCCTTAAAACCAAACACACAATCTGTTAGTACTTAGGGCACATTACCAACTGCCGTGTCAAGACTGCTTTTTAAGACAGTCTAAAATTGATTTATTGCAAATAAACAGATTGTCCCAAGTACAGCTCCAGGCAGCAGCTGTGGAGAGGGGAAAGCACTGCACACCTGGAGTGAAAAAATCCTCTCAAATCAGTAACCCCACAAGAACAAGAGACTCTGCCTCACCTTAATGTGAAGCAATTTCTCTTTCAGCCCTGTGGTGAAAAGTTCCCCTGGACTTGTCTCCTCCCCTCCCCAGCTTTCCTGGGGCAGTGCTGCTGGCCCTGTCATTGCCATGTCAGGAACCTGATGGGAGCACTGTTTCAAGCTTGTTTGTTCTTTTGATGTCAGCCCTGTGGCTCTTTGAAGTTGGAGTCTCCCTCTGGAAGGCTGGGGGGCAATGCTGGATGTAGAAGAACAGGAAAGGAAAGAGGTGCAGCAAACCCAGGATCCCTGGGAATCAGTAAGGGAGGGAAATGGAGTGTGAGGACATGCCATGGGACTGAGGGACAGGAATAAACATCTGGGACAGGAATAAAAACCCTGAACAGGGATGCAAAACTCAGAAACTGAAGATATGGTTCTGGAATTTATTTCCTATAAAGTAAGGAATCCTAGAGTTAAGAATCACCTCCAGTTGTGGCACACTCCATTTGCCTGCCCCACTGGCCAAGAAATGGCATGGTTTTGTGTATATGTAAATTAAAATAAAATACATGGTGAACTGAACTTTCCTGTTTTTTAAATGCACAACATGTATTTGGTAAATTCAAACACCATTCCCTTCTCTGCTTAGTCACTAGTTATGAAATCTGTTAAATGACAAATGAGGTGATCATTCCTGCTCGGCTGCCATTAGAGGCTGTAATTTAATTAGTTGGGACATTCATGTCAAAACAACTAACGCACAGGCCCTCACAGATCCATTGTTGGAGTTCCCTCGTTGTCAAACAAGACCCATGGGTTTGCTCCCTCACGTGAAAGCAGAGGTGGTGCTCAGGAAACAGGGAATAAAGCACAGCTCAGTGCCCTGCCCACTGCCCGCTGCCCGCTGCTCCCACGGCTGCAGAGCAGCAAACACTGCCCAATCTGCTGATCTCAGCAGAAAATCCAGAGTAAAATCCATCTGGTGGAGATCCAGTGGGTTCTTTACTGCTTCAAGTGGGCAGCCACACCTGCCTGGGAAGACCAAAACCTTCCTGAGTGGTAGGAATAAGTTTACAGGGAGGTTTTTGTAGGAGGCAGCCTGGTCAGAAGGGAAGGCTGAGGCGTCTCACTGCCTCTGAACAGAGTTTAGTGAGGCAAGACGCCAAATCCAGAAATTAAACCTGTCATTTTCTCAGCTTAACTAAGGAAATCATAGTGACTCTGCTTAGAAGAGTAAAAAATTCTACTTCCATTTGATTATCAAAGATGTGACTGAACCTTTCTTCCCAAGTGAGCTGCTGTTCCTGTATTATTAACAACCCCTCAAAAGTCCAGCAGGCATAGGCTGCAGCAGCTGAATGATCCTGCAGACATGATTAATGAAGGAGAGGGCTAAATCCCCACCACATCTGGATTTGCTTCTTCTGGCCACAGATGGTTTTGGTTGCTTTTTATTCCAAGTATATTCCTTAGGCCCAAGCATGGGGTTTAAACACAGCTTTCCTGTTCCAAGTCTCCATTTTCCATGGAGGAGCTTCTCCTCAGGACCCTATCCAGGAAGGCATGTGTAACAAATAAAGTGGGATTTGCTAAACCATCCTGCACACTGAAGGGGCTGCAAAAGTTCAAAAGGAGACACACAAAGGAAAGCAGAATAGTTTGGATTTTTGATGTATTTCCCCCTCTCTGAAGTGATTGTCTTGTCTGCTTCATTTTCGTTCCAGATGATTTTATAAAAAACTTATTCCTCTGAGGTTTTAAACTTACAGTAGATGGATCACAAAGTGTTTACAAGTTTTTCTGTTCACTTAGTGTAGATGCTGAGAGCACGAGGCTGCTGGGCTGGGAAAGCCACCCAGCGAGCAGCCTGACAGCAATCCCACACTGATCCATCCCATCCATGGGTGAGGACCCCCCATTCCTGGGATCCTGTGAGCCCCTGCTCCTCTCCAGCTCACCTGCACTCACCCAAAGTGTGCCTGGACAGGAGGGCATCACCTCCTCTGCAGCACCAGCACATCCTCGTGGGGGAACAGCAAAAATCTTTCCAATTAATTATTACTATGACTTATTTGTGTGATAAAACCTGGGCACAAGGTCTTTCAGTATCCTTTAGGATGGAGATGTAGTTAACTAGTGTACTAGTAATTTTCTTACACTCTGTTGCTTCTCCAGTTGTTAACCTGGGTAACAATTAATCTGCTTTTCTAACCCAGTATCTGCCTTGGGTTCACTCTTGCCTCTCTAAACAATCAACAGAAGAAACAGCAGTGGCCTTGATTGTGTAGCAATGATCTACTTAGAATTGATAAACTCTACCACATCTCTAGTACTATTGAGAATCAATAGAGTTGATAAACTCTATCAAATTACTCTAGTAATTCTGTGGGTTTTTTTCAAGCATTTTAAATGCCAGTGCTTATTTGGCTGTCATAGGAAAGCATAATAGTGATTTAAAAACTTGCTTGCTTTCAGACACATCCACCATCACAGTCCCAGCTGTTTTGCTGTGCAGTACTGAACACACTGTCATATTTACTGCATTAAAACCTCTCTCTGCAGATCAAAACAGATGATTTTATTGCTTTTTTTTTATGGTGTTTAGCAGAAATCTATGTTCTCCTGGTTACCTACTCTGTTCAGCTTTACCAGACTGGTTTTAACCACAGTCAGTTGCCCTAATGTTTGTAAGTGAAATGCAACTATTGCTTTTCCTTCCTTTTCTATTTCATAATAAAGTCAGTATTTCCGTGGACACTGGAATCCTCATTTTCCTTACATGAGAGAAAATAACAGCATTCTTCTGTTATCCCAACTTTGAAACATGACGATTAAAAGTATTATCACAGATCACAGAAAAATCCAGTTTGGAAGGGACTTCTGGAGTCCATCTGCTCCAAACTTCTGCTGGAAGCAGGACCCTTGTGTTAGGCTGTCCAGGGCTCTGTCAAGCCAAACCTTGAATATTTCCAGTGAGGGAAATTTTACCACTTCCCTGGCAACCCAGTGCAATGTTTAATTGTTCTCACAGTGATTTTCTTCCACTTAAACCCAGACAGAATTTCTCCTCGAGGCAAGTTGTTTGTATTAGCCTTAATGTGTTTTCCCTTGATGTGTTCAGATGCACAAATGAGCTCTTGCCTGTGTAAATAACCAGCAGAAGAAGCAGCAGCGGCCTTGCTCCATTTCTGATGGCACACTGGATGACCAGCAGTTGAGCTACCCTGAGCCTGGCTTTTACCACATCTTGCTGGATAGAACTGGGGGTCTTGCATTCCTCTGTCAAGGACCAGAGATCCAGAACACAGAAGTGGGCAGGAGGCTGAAATTGGGGGTGTTAGGTTCTCTAACAGCTGCTCAGCCCATTTGAAAATGAAGCTTTCTGAGCATTTTGTGTTACAGAATAATTGAGCTGTAAGGATCCCTGCTGTGGACTGAAAGCAGCACTGCAAAGCAAACCTCGGAGCCTTGCCAACAATTACCTTTTACTTGGCACGCTGCCCAGAATTAAAACCTTGCAAAATTCTAGTCTCTATTTCTCTGGTATATTTCTGTAGCTATTTAAACAACCAATAAAATAAAGGAAAAAAAAAACCAAAAAAAGAGATTATAAAAAAGTGCCAATTATGGACTAAGCACACATAATGGTCTGGCTTTGGTCCCCTTCTCTTTCCCCAAATACCTAAAGAATAACAAGAGGAAATACGAAAAAGAACCAGCAATTTAAACAAAAGCTGTGAGGTCAAACTCTCCCTTGCTCCTCCTTCCCTCTCTTTATCTCTGCTCTCCACTTGGCTCCTGGCTCCCAGCTGAAGGCACTGCCTGCATTGTTAGTCCATGGACAAGAACAATGCACCATAACAAAGCTTGGGGAGCTCACTTGAGCCTTTCCAGAGTTCTGCCTTGTGCAAAGCGAAAATCCTCTGAAAAGAAGGAGAAATGAACTGAAATTTGTGTGGAATCATAGAATCATGGGATGGTTTGGGCAGTGAGCCCATCCAGTGCCACCCGTGCCATGGACAGGGACACTTTCCACTATCCCAGGTTGCTCCCAGCCCTCTCCAGCCTGGCCTTGGACACTTCCAGGGATAGAGAGGATTTCTGCCCAACATCCCATCTGTCCCTGACCTCTGGCAGTGGGAAGCCATTCCCTGTGTCCTGCCCCTCCATCCCTTGTTCCAAGTCCCTCTCCAGCTCTCCTGGAGCCGCTTTAGGCACTGGAAGGGGCTCTAAGGTATCCCCAGAGCCTCCTTTTCTTCAGATGAACTCCCCCAGCTCTCCCAGTCTGAGGGGCTTCAGCCTGGGAGCATCTCTGTGGCCTCCTCAGCTCCAAGAGGGCCACATCTTCCCTGAGCTGTGCTCCCAGAGCTGGATGCAGCTCTTCAGGTGGAGCCCACGAAGCACCAGCCCCAAGTGTGGTCGCCACAGATGACAAGTGTCACTAGAATGAGCTGCCCCAACCACAGCTGTGTGTGTATGAGGTATATCTGCAAAGGAGGATAAGCAGAAGCAACTTGGCAGGGCTGGGAGTGCAGCTGTGGGAGAGGCAGCAGTGCAGAGAGGCACCAAGAGGGGCTATGGACCTTCTCACTGGTGAGGCACAGGGCTCTGCTTGCCAGTGAGCTCTCCCAGCAGTGAAACAGGGTTGGAGTTTGAATTTTCAGTTGAAAGAGAGCCCAGTGGCAGCTTGGCTTCAAGTGAGCACCTGCAGCAGGTGGGAAAGTGCTTAGGAAGAAAGAACACTCTGTTGAGGAGAGCATGGGTAGAAGTAGCTGCCACTCAGTGCAGCTCCCATAAATCCTGGATTTGCCATGGAA